CACGCACGCACGCACACACCCAGGGTTCTAGAGGGAGAATCTGTTTCTTCTCTTTATGGGGAAAAAGCAGTGTAATTAAGAGGTAAAGGGGGAAAAAAAAACCCTTCCCAAACAAGCAAATTGCAATCCATGGGCGTTAATAGGCATAGGAGAGCAGTGTTTGTTCACACTTTATCCCTATAATTGCCAGGTAGACCGTTTAGATTTCCCTGCATTTCTTCTTCTGTGTCTTAGGATACTACATTATCAATATTTTGAAGCTTTAAAATGAAGAGGTAAAAGCATGCTGCAGACATTCCCCTAGCTGAGTATTATGTTGCAGAAACAAGGCTAAAATATTGTTGGTTGTTGGCTGCCACCATTCATACAATAGTAGTGAGAGGTGTTTGGGAAAGCAAATGTGTTGATTCAGTTGTTGGCTGCCACCATTCATACAATAGTAGTGAGAGGTGTTTGGGAAAGCAAATGTGTTGATTCAGTTGTTGGCTGCCACCATTCATACAATAGTAGTGAGAGGTGTTTGGGAAAGCAAATGTGTTGATTCATTTTTAAGTAATGCCATATGGAGCCAGGGAAGATGAAATGAGAGCCTTCCTTAGCTATGGTAAAGGGATGAGCCGTGCAATTCCTCCTCTCAACACATATCCTTCCTTACAAATTCTGACATATTCAGACACTAGGCTGTGAAAATATCTACAAAAATCAGCTAGCAAGTCTCTGAGTAGCCTTCACAAAATGTTTAACCCCAGTGAAGGTTAATGCTGTGAACTGGTCCATCTCTTCAGCTGTTAGGGGTCAATCTACATTACAGCCAAACTGGCCTTGTGGTTTTTGTATGGCAAATATGGCACCTGTGAAGGGAGCATTATACTATGCTAGTATATATATGCTAGTATATATATGCTAGTATATATACTATGCTAGTATATATATGCTAGTATAGTTAATTTCTTAGAATTCTATCACTTTCTTCCATATAACAGATTGTTTAGAAGTTGATAACTTATTTTTAAAGCATTATCAGGTAACATATTTAATGAACTTTTGGTTGGCATATTGTGTGTCAGATGGTGTAATCTTGAGGATCTAGCTTAATCTTAAAAAACTATGAAGGGTCAGCAAATATTTTAGCACACGCGTGAGGAGCTGCAAGGCAACTACATCTCTCTGCCACAGGCTCAATTTCAGTAGATCCTTCAGTCAAAAGAAAATTGTATTTGGTCACAGTTTTTTCTGGTAGGGTATGGAAAGAATAATTAATCCTGATTTAAAACCAAAGCGATGAGTAAAAGAAGCATTGCATTGTTTTTTGAGCATGGGGAAAGATTGGGAGGTTATATCTTATTCTTTGTTAGGGACTGACATAATTGCTTCTGTTTTTATAATGGATTTGTCAGATGAGCAGAATAAATCTTAGGGCTTTGGAAATTGGAAAAAACTGAATCTGTGTTGATTGCTATTATTAAAGGGTAGTTTCTTATCTAAGACAGCAGTACAGTCTGTGTTTGCTGTCGTTTGTATACTCATTCAGATATGTGATGGTGAACTACATGCTTTCTTTAAAGCGTACACTTTTATACCAAGAGGCTGTTAGGAAAAAAAAGTGTATATTCCCAAAATATTTAATATTGGCAATGGGGTGGAGGAATTAATTTATTTTAAATAATGTTCCTAATAATAAGCAGGGAGCCCACGTATTAGCAGAAAGGATGTCTCTGTTAGCCAGATCAGCTTACAGAATTAGAAGGACTGTGTTGAAGATACCCACTCACCCTTTACTAATAGGTTTATTAATCACATTATTTTTGACAATTATGGAAACAGCCTGCTAAGGAGCCTGTCAGATTACAGGTGCTGAAATAATGAAATGGACATTCTCAGCCTCATCTGATAAAGGGAGAAATCCCTCCAGTGATTTTCTAAACTTTATGCTGCTGGTCATCCACTTCATTAATTTGGTCTGTAGTACTTCCTTGAAGTGCTTTTCAGCTTCTAGAACAGATTCCTGCATAGAACCTCCACTAGGTTGCTTTTTTGTTAAATTGCCACACTGTTGCTCATTGGCATGTTAAGTTAAATGGTTGTTTAAAAATATAGAAAACTCTGTGCATGTATGGGATTGGGGGCATATATGGCATGTACAGATTAGAGGGAGACCTTTTCGTAGCCTTTATAAGTAACTTGTATTTGAAGGCAAGCTATGATCTAGTTAATTTGCCAATGATACAAAAATGAATCAGAGTGAGAGCAAGTGATGAATATGGGTGGGGGTGGCATTAAAATACATTTTTTCCATGATTGGGAAGATACTGGAATTTAGAATTAAATTTAGAATCACAGCTGATCTGTGTTCATTAATGAAGTTGCATTATGTACAGTGCAGATCACTTCAGTAGAAGCACAATGTGTGGAGATTACTAGCATTTATTAGAATTTCTAGACTTCCATTTTGTTCTCCGTTTCCTTGGCTTTGCATAACGTTGCTTTACTCTGAAAGGAAATAGTATTATGGGTATGTAAATCCATGCTGTTATGTGATAAACGAAACTGATACAGTATAGTAGCATGAAATTCTTTCCAGTTTCATAAAAATTGGTAGGCGGTCGATGGGATCTGAAAGCACTTAACTTTGTGTGAGACGGGCAGCTAAAGAAATACGATTGATTGATTGATTGATAGATAGATAAATAAATAAATAAAATGTTGATTCCCATTCAAACATGGCCAAAAAAAATCCATAACTGAACTACAGCAAAGAAAACCATGTATGTTTTACTTCTGGCCCCACTCTGTTTTTCTCAAGTCCAACAGTATTCCAGGAGACAAGAGGCATGATGGCTCATAGACACTGTGACTGCTCCAGTGGTGACAGTCCAAGGCTGCCGCTTGTACCTTGAATTTGATCCTTTGGCTATCACACTGGATCGTGGCCAGCTGCAGGTGTTGAACTGCAGAGTGGTTGCCACTGCCTGGGACTTCCTTAGTTTTGGTGGTGTTGTGACCATCCTTAAATGCCAGCCTAAAGTGACCGCAGCACTGAGCCTTCTTTGTCTTTGGTGATGCTCCAGCATCTTTCAATGCTAGTGCTGGAATCTTGGGAGAGTTTGGCAGGCATCTCCATCATGTTCTCGGTTGTCAACATGTCTTGCAGCAGCTGCCCTTCTCTCTCCACTGCCTCTGCTCTGCCACTCTATGGCTCTTCTCCTCTGTCTTCTATGCTTTGGCCTTCATGCCTCAACTCTCTTTTCTACTCCCCATCTTCATGTTTCTGCCACTACATGTCCATTGCTCTGAAATGAAATCTTCTTATCAGACTTCCTTAGGTATACAGATTTCTATAACACCAAGCCATTTGTTAAATTCCCTTTAGTCTCAATTCCTCTGGCAATATAATCCCATTTCCTCTTAGGCTATGACTAATTCCTGTGTTTTCCCCAGGACAATGGAGCTATGACAGTGAACCAAAGTGATTATCGAGGATAGACTAGAAAGGATTATGTACCTCTTCCATTTCAGCCAAAGGCTGGAAATAGATTTAGCCAGGGATTGCGATCCAGCAAACATTTCATCTTCTGCTGTGTGTCAATATTAAGTGGCTGTCTAAAATGGCTGATTGTATAG